TGCCGTATTTTTATAAAACGCCATAAAGCAAAATCGTAAAATCATCGTAAAAAAATTAAATTCTAACCGGAGGATTAGATTGGAGGGTAAGAAATTATACGAGCCTAATAAGCGGTTAATTTGTTAGCAGAATTATTGGCAATTAGAATCGCTATATGCGAAAGAGCACTCAGGCGCGTCCTCTGGTTAAAACCGCAATGTTATGCTCCTGAAATTCTCACGATATATTACTAGGAACTCAAATCCGCATTGCATCGCGAGAGCGTCTCATTCCAGGTACACTAATTTATGTGTTTAATATGTTATGTATGTTCAAATAATGCTCGCAGTACTGGCATTCAAGGGTCCCGACCTTAAACCAATTTCAGTGCGTAACAGGATGTTATTGCAGAATCTTTGTCCATTTCTTTGGATAATAACAGCAATGTACAGGTTGGTCCTGAAATAGTTGGTCACAATCAGGAATTGGATTGAGTTCGTCGTAAAAGTGAAAAATGTTCCCATAAACGTTAGTCCGAAGCCACAGGCGCTACGACTCATTTAATTATTGATACTTGATTTAAAAAATGGAAGGCCATGGAAGTAAAAAACTTAATTTTTATTTGCAGAAGTTAAAAATGTCCACAGTTAACGAAAACACGCTTGCATTTAATCTCACGCGCTCAAAGGTTCCTGGCGTATTTCGAGATTGTTGTGTTTTGAATTTTGAAGTATTGTATCTTTCTCCCCCCCCCCCTTCCGTGCCCAAAGAATCATATTGGATTTCAATCGTGACAACAGATCACTCAATTAAGCTACTTATTGAACACATTAATTAAAAAGGACATAGTAATTTAAGTGCGATCGAAACTTTAAAAGTATTTATTCTTCGAAACTGATAATGAAACGAGTCGCAACTCCTGAAGGATGCGATTTCGGACTAACGTGTATGGGAACTTTTTTAATCCTTATGACGAATCCAAACCAATCCTCGATTGTGGCCAACTATTTCAGGACCAGTCTGTGTACGTAGAATTAGAGTTTGCTATTGTGAATTTTTGCAATGTTCACGAAAATTCGGAGCGAAGTTAGAAGCGAACAACAGAATGGATTAAAATCTTCTCGTTATCCTTCACTGTTACTACAACCAGAAATGTAACTGCCGCGTGTTCGTGTGCGCGGGCTCTTTCCACGTGAAACCTTCCTCCCCCTCCCCCTCTCGAAATTGTTTACACTCCGTTATTAATTTGCCACCTACGCCTGCGCTTACGGGGAATTATTATTTTACTACCGGCGTAAAGATTAGGCGAAATTAGCCGAGATGATTTAGGGCACGATCGCGAGATCTCTTCCATCTCGCGCTGAGCTCTCGCGCTATAGCCGCGAGTGGATAGAGATATTCCGCGTTTAATCTTGTTTTAAGCCTTGGCTTCCCGATGAATGTACAGCTGGGATTAATGCCCGTGAAAATATCGCCGCGATTACACTTATATCGTAAACAGAAGTATGGCGTTCGATAACCGGTTCTGAAAATATCGAGCACAAAGGTGGAAATTACCGTACATCTACTCCGGGAAACGGTGCCACGGCGGACCGCGAGGTAGTCGTTCGGCAAAAAGTGCAGCGATAAAAAAAGAGTTGACGAGAAAAATGAAAAATGTAAAATGGAGCAAACTTTCAGATCTGGAATACGCGCGATACAGGTCAGATGTCGCCCGTTGGGTTTGTCGATATGTGGATGGAAAGAATGTGGGAAGATACGAGCGGAAATTTCTCTCTCACTCTCTCTCGTTCTCTCTCGCCGCCCGGGCGAGATATCCGCTATGTGAAAACATAGGAAGGATGCAAAAACTCGTACATCACGTGTTATCGCTTCTTTTAGGAGCCCGACCGGACGCAAATCAAAGCCGTTCGATTTATACTCTGCAGTGAGTATTCAGCTCGGTTACAACGGATTTATTTTCCTCGGAGCTACGCCCTTTCGTCCCCCTTTCCAAGTTTGATTATTGTTTCGCTTTACGAAGCTGCAATTTAAAAAATAGTGATACTAAATTTAATAGAGAAAAGTCATCTGTTACGAGACAGGCTTCTAATATGAGATAGCAGGTTTTCAGCATGAAAATTCATCACAAATCTTTATTCAGAACGATCCAACGATGAATCTTCCAGTAAACAAATTTCACTCCAAGGGCAATAAATTCACGACGCCTATTAATTTAGCAAAAATCCTGCTATCTCATATTAGAAGCTCATCTGAAAACAGGGGACTTTGCTCTACCAATTCAATGGCTCTCTCCGTTTTTAAAATAATTAAATTCTAGCTCGAATATATTCTCTCTCAGGCGTTCACATTCGCTCATGCAAACGTACGTAATAAAATGTACATGTATATCGCAATGAGAATAGGGGGATTTAAAAAGTGAAAAAGTGAAAGACTCTAGCCGGAATGTCCAAGGCTCGAAATGCTTTTACGTTTAATTCAATATCCGTCTTTATTCCGAACAAGAGGCATTTATTTTTGCTCGCCAATAATTTCTCATGGGCGGCTCCTTATTATCTCTAACGGAATCGTCGACGATGCAAATCGAGGGCGTTCTAGCGGAGACGGAACGAGAAAGGACGAAGTGACGCCCGTTCCCTCCCGCTTGATAACTCTTCTCCCGACTCGTTCGCGCCTTCCGAACTTTTCCGACCTATTCGATCGACCTTTCTCCCTTCTCCCGTGGCGTTTGGTATTCGCTCTCGGCCGTTTAATATTTCTCTCTTTTCGCCTGATTCCACATTGGTACCCTCGTCGTAGATTGCGCGACGTCTCCCTTCTCCGCTCTTTTCGCTCGATTTCACGGTTGCCGCGACACGGAAGAAAATCGGCGTCGCGGCGCACACCGATAAGACGCCAACGACGATTGTGATGTCTGCGGAGCATTGAAACGGATCGAAAGAAAAAGGACCAAGCCATGCTTCTCCGATTCCGAGATTCTGGGACATTGAATTCTTTAAACTTTAGTGTTTTGCATTTTTAGACCCTTTAAAATTCTCGGGATTGTCGATTCTGTCGATTTCATAATCTTTAACATTCCCGAGTGTCCGAGAGCGTCCACGGGACTGTGCGACTTTAGCTCCGCTTGTTTGACCCGCCGGTATTTATAATTCGTAACCGGAAGTCACTGGAAGCCAAAAGCAAAAATATCAAGATGCTAAAGACAACCGCTTCGTGCGCAACATTTTCGTTTCCATATAAAATACAGCGAACTAGTTCAACGGTTGCCACGTAGAGTTTTTTAATCTGCCGGATAAACTTTCCGATCGGATGTCGTTCGTCGGCTGAGAGCGACTTCGTCAGAACTTCCGGTCCCTTGTACGTGGGATGTATCTCCTTATGCCGCTACTTACGCCAACTTTTCCGGAGCTTTAAGGAGGCCGGGGACGAAGTTTGATCCTACCTTCACCAAGAGAAAAGAGGCAGGAAGTCGTTTAAGATTAATGTGCCCTTCTTAGGTTGCTCTTCTGCGACTTCAACGCGATTGCGATCCTAACAAGAGACAAACTGGCAAGTTTTGATTTCAATGAAACTTGGAAAATATGTAGAGTAGTTTGTTGGATTGGGAAAAAATTGGTGCCACGATTCCACGATATCGATCGAGAGACATTTTTTAATATGGCATTTATAACATTACAATATTTAGAGTGTGCGAATCATCCTTTTATGTTGTCGAATCAAATCGAATCGAATCTGTTTATGTCCGAATTGTTGATTCGAAAATTAAATTATAAACTTGACCGTTTTTGCACTTACATTGTTTATTTCCAAAATTATTTTATTGTTCTATTACAAAAATTAATACATTTGTTAGAGGTGAAAAGTGACCGAGTCGATTTAAAATCGAATCTGTTCATATTCGAATTGTTGATTTGATGAAATGTTGATTCGAAAGTAAAATTACAAGCTTGACTGTTTGTGCACTTACATTGTTCGTTTTAAACATGATTTTATTGTTCTATTACAAAAGTTATTACATTTGTTAGAGGAGAAAAGTGACCGAGTTGATGATTTGAAATCGAATCTGTTTGATTCGAAAACGAATCGAATCGAATCTTCAGTCATTCGATTCGATTCGACTCGAAGCGATTGGCACACTTCGAAGCTACAATACTTTTTGTTATACACATTCAACCGCGCGGGATCTCGTTTTTCTTCTTTTATTATTAGCGCAATATATCTATGAGAGAAAATTTCAATCATAGATTTCTTCTGCTTCTTTTTCATTTACAAATGTCACCATCTAAAAGTGGAAGAATATCGTACTTTTTTTTCATGCACGGTACGAACACGATAAACGTCAATTGTACAATAACGTAGCCGAATGTCTCGCTCCACCTGACATCATGCCGCGTAGATAGAACAAAGAGCTCGACTGCGTCGTTTTTTCTGTAATATTGATTTCGTTCGGTCTTCAATTCTTCTTATTATTTCATCGTTTCTCAAAGTATCGTCACAATCAATCAGTAATTCATCACGCACGTTTGATAACCCGGGAAAAACATTTTTCACATATAATCATATCATAAATATTATATAACTATATATAGACTGTTATAATTGCAATCTTACTTTTTGTAAAGAAAAGCAACGCGAAAATTGTTTTTTTCTAATTATTCACCTTATTACTTTTTTATACGTGGCATCCGGTATAAGGTGCTCCGTTCAATTAGAGCTCGTTAAACCGAACTAAACAGTTCTATAATATATCATTTCGCAAATAACTACGTGAAATTTTGAGTTATTAATTAATAGAGATCTGCGAATCAGCGTCTAACTTAAGGTCTTCCAAATTCTAAAATCTTGGAGAGCCTTAATTGCTGGACTTTCGAATCTGAAATTCTAGACCACTCAATTATACATTTATTTTTCATAATTATAAAATCCGCAACACGTTTAATTTCTTGGAACTCAAAGTTTTCCTCGCAAATTGAATACGTTGATATCGTAAATAACGTAAATATGTTGCGTGCGCTTGCAGAATGGACGAGCCAGTAGCGAGAGCAGCGAAGACGGGGCCGGAAGTAGCGCAAGCACTTCGCGAGGGGCCGGAAGTGGATTCGGTCTTGCTGCTGGATGCACCGGCGGATGGCGTAGTGTCTTCGGCGCAGTTTCAGGCCGGGAACTTAGATTGTACGAGTGCGCGCCTTGGAGTCCAGAAGCTTGGGCTTCGCCGAGCATTACCTGCCCTCTCATCGCAACACGGTGAGCCCTCAACTGTATTTACAATCTTAAACAAACTCTTATTTCTCCAATTCTCTCGGCAAACGGAAAAAGAGCCGAGTTTTTCACGATTTCCTATATTTAAAACTAAACGAAATGAGCTGTCAACAGCAGCTTGTATGCCCTGCAAGAAAGTACGTCAAATTACATAAACAATGAATGCAACAATTATATTTATTAGTAACGGAAATGTATAAATTCGTGCCTTTGCAGAATTAATTTTTCAACTCTTGTGTGAACAATTGCTTACATTTAACGAAAATTATTTTGTAATTAGATTTTTATTTTTAGGGTGGATACTTTTCAGATTTAATTCTTTAAATATAGAGGAGAGTCCTCTATTATGAGATAAGTTTCTAACATGAGATAACAGGTTTTCAACGCCCAAGTTCCATCACAAATCTTTTTTTCGCAATGATTACGCAATCTAACAATGAATTTTCCACTAAACCGATTTCGCTCCATAATAGGAGACTTTCCTCTACAAATTTTAATTTTGTTAAATTGGGTTTCAATATTATTTATTACATTTATTTTTTAAATGCCTTGTATAATTTTATTGTATAAGAGGGCGTGTATCTTTATAAAATAATTTTCGTCAAGTATAAGCGATCGTTTACACGAGAGTTAAATCGAAAGCTGATTATTACGCAAGACTACAATTTTATCTACGAAATATAATTTTATAGCTAACGTAAAATGTAAAAAATACACTTTTACTATAACAGACGGTCTCGATATCACCTGTTATAATAGTTTAGCATGAAAGTTGTTCAGTGTGTACAATCGAAGAAGATCATAGCGATAATTTAATCAACTGGATGCATGATACACGGTGAAACTAATTTGGGAAACTGTTTGGGAAATACCAATAACGACGCTTATCGTAATGTTTGCGACGATTTCAGTCTCGCGGTTTCTATGTAGAACATCTTAACACTCGTCTCAGTATTCGCACCTCGTGTGTGTCTTCGCCCCCGGCCACGGTGTTCGTTCGCTTACGAACGAAAGTCGCGTAACAATCCGCCGGCGGCGTCATTAACACGACGATTCACGTATCGCGCGGATCCCGGGTATCGACCACCGTCGAGAAAGCGGGAACGTGCTTACGAGCGAAACGAGCCACGTATCGCGTCGTCAACGAGCACCACGACCGCGTCACGTTGTAGCACGTACGTCTCGTCGATTTTACGTGGGGCCGCCGTCGTGCAGGTAGCCGGGAAATTAAGTGTAAAAAATTCACCAGCATCGCGCGCGAGAAAGTGGCTCCGCATGACGAGCATCTCCCGATGGAGCACAATGTGAGCGACTATAAATACAGGGCTTCCAGCGTCTTGTCATACCTGCATGGACCCGAGAATCCTGTCTGCAAAGTGGCGCCGGAAATTGGCGCGGGAGAGACAGTCCCGTTGTAGTTTGTTTCGGTTTTTTTTCACTTTATCGCGCGGCGAGAAAAATGTCGCTTCAGCCTCCGTCAATTTGCGCCCTTAATAATAATAATAATAATAATAATAATTCTTTATTGTGTTCCCCTTAGGGTTACAATCTCTACACTTTACCTTTTACATTTTTTCAACTTAGTCTAAAACTTATTGTTAGTGAAGTCTAAACTTCAATCTACGACTTAAACTATATATTTCGAGGGTTTGCGATTTTTCTCCCCCCCCCCTCCCCTCTATCGCGTACACACATACACACACACATACGTCTCCTCCTCTCCAGGGACTTCCGCTTCCTATTGCCTTTCTTAATCATTTTCATAAAAGACACTACTTGCTTAGATTGGCCCACCTCTCTGTCTCTTTGCGCCCTTAATATATATGCATAAAATACGGAACAGTTAATTGTTTTTGTTTAAAATATTTTCGACCGCGTTCTCGGATCAGCGCGGATAATAAAATTTAATATCCGTTGACTTAAAATCGGCGCGAGTACAAACGAGGCTAAATTAGCAGCTAATGCGCAATTTGTCTTTCATATTAATGGCCGAAGACAAATCGTACGGCTGAAGGTGACCGTAATTAATGGACGGAAAACGTTCCGGAAAACGTTCCGGAAATTTATTTTAACAGAAGGATCGTCCGCGCGGCGACATTGGTGTTTTGGTCCGCGCAGGCCGTGCCCGCGTGGCGTTTTAATATTCTATAGACGTGGGGTTTAATTCCGGGTTCTTCAATCTCGAAACTTCATTCGGGGATGTTCCCTTAGTACACGCGAATATTGGAACACGCGTGTTTTTCGCGAGTTACGCGGAACACGAGAATTAAAATCTTTGAAGAGCGATGTATATTGTACATTTAGGGGGTTTCCATCGTAGCCAAAATTTTAATTTGAAATTTCTTTTGCGATAACATTTCATATAAAATATTTGAAAACGCGCACCACGTCCAGTCCTGTGCTTATTAAAGAGAATTTCGCCGCAAATAAACATCGAGCCTTAATGGGGAAAACCTTGATAAGGTTCTACAACAACGGCGCCATTGATTGTTTCGCCTGTTTATTATTTAATTTAATTTTCACGCGTCCCGCATAATCTGAACGTTCGCGGGGAGGGCGAATCGGGGATATGGAGGACGTCCGCTCCAACGTAGGCTCTGCCCCCCGCATTCGTATTCGGCGGTACAGTCGGGAGGATTGTCAATGAGGCACGTCGCGTTACAGCAGTTAGCGATGTTCGTTAGACCGCCATTTTAATTAAGACTATTATACATCCGGCCGACTGTTCGCGCGATGTCATTGTGATGCTCGTTACGTGCGCGGCCTGCGAAATCATTCTCGTCTCCCCGTGACGATCCGTTTTGCAATGCGTCGACGCGACATTATATCGATACTAATCACGAATGTGTCGTTTAACCGCGCGCATAAACGTGATCCGAGCTTTCAACGGGCGCGTCTAATTATTCGCCGCGTTGCTCCGCGTCGTTGAATGGACGCTGAAAGGATCCGGCGACGAATGGACCGGCGAAACTGTCGCCCCCATCGGCTCTGCATATGTTGATTATGCAGGGTATTGCGGATAAGGTGTTTATCCGCTCGTATACAGGTAGAGCGGGTTAAACTGGAAAGAAAAGTTATTTACCATTTTGGAAAATTCCCAATAGTTATCGAGTAATCAATTAAAACGTCTGAGCGAATAAGCGCGAGGAAAGCGGTAGGCCGGACACTTTTTCCCGATGCGTCGCTCCGCCTCCCGCTATCGGACACCCATCGTTGCTACGAGACTAAACAAATAAGGCCTTTAACTTGCCCGCCGAGCCCGGCCTACTGCTACTCGTGCGTTCATTCGCCCAGATGTTTTTATTTATCGCTCGAAAACTATTGCGAATTTCACAAAATGGCATATAACTTTCCTTTTCACTTTAACTTGCTCTACCTGTATACGAGCGGATGGATACCTGATCCGTGATACCCTGTATACATGGTGACATGTACGCGCGATCGAGAACACCCTTGGATGTATCGCGCGTATCTTTGCGAAATTGCATGTAAAAGGGTAGCGGCACTGGGTGTGTCGCTAAAGTGTTGAAAATTGGAAGAATTGGATGGCACTTCCGTGCAACGGCGCACTCGAGACGGCACTTGTGTATCTTCTCCGCGCCGATCGCATCCTCTTATACGTCGTTTTATATTGTAAAAGTCTGCGTCGAACTCGAAGGGAACAAGAACGATTGCTTGTCGCTAATTTAGGGGGTAATTTTTATTTTTAATTTCTTTCTTTTAAATTACGGGGAAATCTGTTTCTTGGAAGGGATTTTGCTCTTGCAGAAAACAGTTTAACTTGATCTATAAGTAATAGGCATTATGGCCAATTTGTGAGCAAAACAAGATCTTAGGACGAGAAGAGAATTTTTTTTTTAATTTACCCGGAAAATTATATAACCTTGGGACGATGTGGCATTTTGACAAATTACGACAGTTTTTTTTAAAGTTACCATACATTTGACTAGTAAAATGTATATGTATAGTAAAATGTACAGTAAAATTTCAAAAAGCTCTCATAAAGTTGTTCAAAACGCCACGTTGTCCTACAATTACATGATTTTCAGGGCAAATTTTAAATGAAAATTCGCTCCGTGTATAATAAAAAACATTCACTAAAAAGCGATGAAATAAATACATTAACGCGGACTTTAACTTGACTTGTATTCATTTTTCTACTAATGCAGACTAATTTTAATCCCTGTTCAACTAAGTCTTTATCTTTTTCCAATTCCTGAAATTAGAGAAAGAGAAAAAGTATGTTAAACCGAAATCAAAGCTAATCTGCATTGATAGAAATAACGGACATTAGTCATCCTAGGCACACATTAATCTACGGACATTGCGAGTTCAATTTATTCTGAAACTACAGCCTTAGCCAAAAATATTTGCCACCCCCTAAATTCTTAGAAATGTAACTTCTTTTGACTCTAACCAACTATTTTGTGTATTGTTACGTCTTTGCACGCTGAACTAAATAACCTAAGCATTACATCATAAACACGCAAGGACAAGTCGCGAATCCTTTACAGTACTGCCGTTCTAACCTAAACAGCAGTGCCTCCACTTTTTGGCCATTGTAGTTAACTCACTTTCTCTGTTTCTTAGCGAAATATCCGTTGTCCTACAAGGCTAGAAAGCAGTAAGAGCACTAGATTAACATAAAAGAACTCATACACGTTGCAGTATGTCCACATTTTTTTCGTGGTGGCCTAGTTGTAAGAACTTAAATGCACGTTTTCTAGAAATTAACAATTTGGGAGATACTGCTAAGTTAGGACGGCAGAGTAGTAAACTCGAATTTTGCTTGTAAGTATTTAATTTACTGCGGACGCTCGAAGTGTGCACGTTGCTTAATAATCTCCAACTTATAAGTAGCTTACTTTAAAGAATAATATTATTTTGCTACAAAAATTCTAAAAACGTGTGAATTGGATTTAGCTGAACGTTTGAAAATACTTTTTGAAGAAGAGCAAATAGAACGCAAATCGCAAAAATAGTCG